ATCCCAACTAACCACAGGGATAATCCATATCATATGGCACAGGCTCAGTATACAAAGCAGAGGAAAAAGAAGAGGGGGTGCATTTGGAGTGATAGTGTTTGTCCTCCCAAGTCACTGTTAGGTTTGGAGCCCAGCTTTCCTGGAGATGCCTGAACACCTGCCTGTCCACGGGAAGTGGTGAATCAATTCCTTGTTTGGCTTTGCTTGTGTGCACAGCTTTTACTTTCCCTAAAAAAGTGCCTTCATTTCAACTCTTGAGTTCTCTCACTCTTCAGATTCTCTCTCCCACCCCTTTTAGGGGGTCTGAGTGAGTGGCTGTGTGCTGCTTGTCAGCTGAGGTTAAACCATGACATCCATGTATAAGTGGCATTGTAACTTACTGTCTTGTGTACTATTTTTGAGTAAAAATATAAAGCAAAATCACAGTCTTAAATGTGTGAGTTCATAGAAACTTAAGTAAAACTCTTCTAAATGTAAGCCCAGTGGTAAAGAATTTACCAGAGATTTTAACAGTGATTAAAATTATGTCAAGAATGCGTAAATGAGCAACTGATGACAGCTGATGATTCAGTCTTAGTGTGGTTGCTGTCACTGTTGTATTCATCTCACAGTTTCTTTGTGACAGCTGTCGTAACCTTACATATAGAAATATGCATCTACTAAAATACCACTGGGCCTTACTTATTCTCATACAGAAATTTTTCACTGAAAATGACAAAAGAGAGAACAGATTGGCATTGGTTTTCTTGGATAGGTCCTGAGAAACTCCTCAGATGTCCATCTAAAGTCCCTATGACTTTTTGTATTGTGTGTCAATTCGTGTAACTAATTAATATTTAATTTATCTTAATTTAGTTAGTTTTATTTAATATTTTCCTTTTTTTTTTCCTATTAAGAGTAACCAATCTGGACATCTGTAGCCTTGCAATGAATTTGTCAACCAAGCTAAGCTACGCTATTTTCAGCTGTAGAAACATGTTGTCAAGCATTGGAACAGGCTGCCCGGGGAAGTGGTTGAGTCACCGTCCCTGGAGGTATTTAAAAGGCATGCACATGTGGCACTTAGGGACATGATTTAGGGGTGGACTTGGCAGTGCTGGGTTAATGGCTGGACTCAATGATCTTTGAGGTCAGTTTGAATCTAAATGATTCTTCGATTCTATTTTTCATTTTTTTCCTTTCCACATGCATTTACATGAGATGTTCAGATTGAATCCAAACAAGAGTGATCTACCAAAACTGATTCTTCCTACAGTGATATTTGAAGCCATGTGACAAAGCGGCATTTAAAGGAGTTTTCTGTGGAAGATAACATAAAGAGTAACAGGAGACAGAAATCAAGAAGATTCAAATCTATCTCTTGTTTGTTCTAAATTCTTCATAGATTAGTTTCACTTGAGAAGTAACTGTCTCATGATGATGAAAACAAAACGAATGCTTAAATGATGCTATAAGATGTTCACAAAATGCCACCTCCTCTGGTAGGCTCTTAAAATCCCTTGACATGCAAGTTCTGTGGCAGTATACACACACACTGAGTAAATTCATATCAAAGTCAAACTGCTTAAAGCCTGGTTTACAGCTAGACTCTCTCAAGATTGGGTAACTATTCAAGACCATTCCCACTTGTGGGGCTTAATGAGACATGTTCAGATKCTACCTACGTCACCTAAGGGTCAGGCTGGGAGGAACCATCCACTATGTCAGATATTCACCCAGATGATGGGAATGGCATCTCTGGAAGACTTGTAAGGACTTGAAAGCACATCATTACCTTACAGTAAATCATTTGATTGGTAGGCCTTAAAGTGTTCAGAGATAGGAGCCATTATTGGGGTTGTGCTCTTCATAGAGGATGAGTAAAAGCCCAGAATCTCACTGCTATAATTTGCAGAGAAGAGTCATGATCCTGAGAGGTTCTCTGCAACTTATCGTGCTGGTAGACAGCTACAGAATGGAGATTTTCAGCTTACCAGATCACTCATCTCATCTTGAAAAGCCTTGAACATTTTCATTCCAGGAACATGCTGTGTTAGCACATTCTAAATAAGAGTGTAAATGATGTTTGCCGTTTTTTGTGCAAAGTTGCAGTAGACCAGCTTTCAGTGCAGCAGCTCTTCCTGACTGCATTCAATTTGAGTATGGGGGTTTTACTACTAGTCTGGACATATTTATGTTAAAAGGAAATGTGGGGATTACTGAGCTTATATAGTGGTAATAAGGGTAAGAAATGCTAACTGAGGCTAACTGAGGTCAACAAACATCTTTAACACTAAATTGTTTAGATGCTGAGTGCTTGCTTCCTAGTAACACCTTCAGAAAGAGCCTCTCACTGCTCCAGAACAGAATGTTCCTTTCTGTCATGTTCATAAGTAGTCTGGAGATTTAGAGCTAGCAAATCAAGAGTTTRTCTTTTTCAAAACAAACCTATTGAAATTCAGAGGGCTGCCTCATCAGGGTTTGGCTTATGACATCAATGTATAAACATAGTAAGGACAATATACAAGTTCATTGCAGGCAATTTTTAGCATATGTTGGAAAGAATGATCTTAGAAGAACCAGGAAGCAAATTTTTAAATAGATTTGTCCAAGATAACCTATCTGATACTTGGAGAATGGTGGGAAGACCTGACTCTTTTTTTAATACAATATTTTGGTGGATTTGCACACAAACACACACAAAACCCAAACAGTTATAAAGGTCTTAGTGGAACATAAAAGGTTTTTGAGTGGTGACTTAGAATTCTGAGTTACTGATCAGGTCTAATATCAAGATTTTGTTGGGCTCATGTTTKATCAGCCACAATCATCTAAAGCAAAATGCAATCCTTTTGGTGCAGTCAAGTAACTACAAAAACAAACTCCATCAGAGACTATTCTTAATATTGGTGGGGTAAGTTCCTGCAAGAGTTAACTTGAATTTTTCTTTCCTAATAGAGTATTTTTTACTGTACTTCTACTGTATGACTCTTTTTACCATATGATTTAATATTTTAAATATGAAAAAACTATCAGATAAAGTGATTGCACAAAGATATTTTATAGAACAATCCTGAACTGCATTTGCATTGTAGCAAATGAGGTATACAGCATTGCAGTGAAAGATATGCTAAAAATCACACATGCTTTTTGTTTAATGTTCCTAATCATATTTTCTTTTTGCCTCATGTACAAAATCTCATCACATAGTATTTTTGCGTGTCAGAAAATTTCCGTGTTACAGTTTTTCTGCCAGAAAGGTGAGATTGTCATTTAGATTATGTTGTTGAATTCTTTTCTGCTTTTCTTTGTCCTACCYAGTTCCTCTATTCTTGAATTCTAATTTCTTGTGATGTTATTAAGGTTATTGTGAAATTGCAACACAAGTTAAACTTATGTGGGGCACAAGCCATTTCTGAATAGGGATATGAGTGTTGTGAATTCCACACTGCTTTAATGTTACTTGCTTTATCCCTGCAGGTTTTAACATATTTGCTTCATAGARAAAGAGCACATAGAAACTTACCTTGCAGTGTCAGCTAGAAGTACTTCCTTTGTTCTGCATCTTGTTCTCTTTGTATTCAGATAAGCCTTATTAGTTCAGAGACATTTAGTTTATGTGGATTAATAAAATTTAGGAAAGGAATTTTGCAGTGAATATTGAAGGCAAGTCAGAGTATGAATCCAGCTTACTTAGATGCAGARAATATTCGGAAAAGAAACATTACCTTATGTTGATGATAATCAGATGTATGTTGTTCTCCAGCATATYACAGAGTGAATCTCAGCATTTTGCAGTTAGTGTTCTATAAAAAGAATATTATATAACTTGATTTTCTTGTTTATACAAACAAAGCAATAAGAACACCCTCCTGTCTCAATGTTATCCAGAGAGATGTTGCTTTGTTGGTGGGATAAAAGGTTATTGGGCAGCTGTGGAAATACAGAATAGACTAAGCCCAGACTCCACTACAACATCTGCATATAAATTTGTGGAGTGTGTTGCAGGAGGAATTTTAAAAACAAAAATCAGAAAAAAAGGCCCCCTTCTTGGTGGTAAATAACAATAAAATATTGTCTTGTATATGTGTCTGCAGTATACACTGAATTTTCCTTGCAATGTTATTTATTTTATAATTTGAGTCAGCTATTGTAATTAATTTGAATAAATTCTTATGCAGCAAAATAGGTAATTCTGTTTCCTATAAAATGCCAATAAAATTAAAGTTGGTAGAACACAAGCCAGAACCGGGTTTCATGAAACCTAAATAGTCTTGAATATGTTTGTAGGGTGAGTGAGTGCAGAAAGCCACAGGTTGTTGTACCTCTCCCAGGGCAACTCCCCTTCAGGGGCATGTGATAGCCTTGCCCAGAACTTACTAGCATGGCAACACAGCAAAGCTTCCAGTCCAGCTGGTTGTGCAAAACCAGCTGTGAGATGGGGCAGAGCAAGCTCATGGCTGCTTGTCCCCAAACATGCACATGTAAGACCTGACCCTAAAATTTAGGTAGGAATTGCTACATGCCTAAGCATTATCATGACAGATTGAAATTCAGATGCCTTTCAAATGCAAAGTGAAAAACATCAGAAGGAATAATTTGAAACAKTCTTCCACATATTAGGTCTGAACTAACAGGGAAAAAACAGGTACCAATRTAAGCAGCTGAAAGAAAATTTCTGTTCAACATCCATCATTAATCAAAAACCCATGTGAAGAATATGCATAAAGAATACRAGGAAAAATAAGATGTTCAACAGACAGAAGACTGTATCTTACAGAAGCAGCAGTAAAGGAGGGTACTTAACACACTGTAGCATTTGCTCAACACTGTAATGAAGATAGCATATGGTTACTGATACATGTGTAGGTTTTAAGACTGAGAAATCAGACCAGMTAAGCTTAAGAGTTGTGTGGAATGCTGATTTCTTGTTTTGTTTTGTTTAGAATTTTCCTTGATTTGCATATTATTGACACAAAGCATGAAGAAATTAWTGTTTGCTTTTKTTTTGTGACTTGCAGAACCTGAAGCGTGTGGCAGAGACATGGATGGATGAGTTTGCAGAGTACATTTACCAGCGACGGCCTGAGTACAGACATCTCTCAACTGGTGACATCTCTGCCCAGAAGGAGCTGCGCAAGCACCTGAAGTGTAAAGATTTCAAATGGTTCATGGCTGCAGTGGCTTGGGATGTCCCCAAATATTACCCTCCTGTGGAGCCTCCACCTGCTGCCTGGGGGGAGGTGAGGAATAGATCAAATTTAAATGAGTCTAGCATTTTAGATTGTGGGAAAAGAAAATTATTAAATCAGAGTAAACCTGATGCTAAGTAGTGTTACKAAGGAAGTTCACAATGGGTTGAAACAATCCCTGAACAATCCCTGTCATGTCCTAAAACTATCACTGTCACATTTGTAACTCATTACAGCTTTGTGTAGAGAGGGCACACGATGTATGCACAGTGAGGACAGGAATGAGGAAAAGAGTATGTAGCACTCATTACTGCATGTCACAAGAAGATTTTGGATTCAGAGAATCACCTCAGTAAAAAGGAAGGTCTGAAGTTGGTGTTTGGGGTTTTCCTGCATATCTACTTGTATATCTCCTCCTATCCTTACAAGGACAATCCTGTGCAKGTGGAGTTAGGTTTGCTCACTTGAGAAATGTGACAAGCAAGGCCTGGATACTTTCCTTTTAAAAAAGACTGATTTTGYTTAGCTGTTCTTTGCATTCTGTAGGTGCTGTCATCACTGAGTACCAGTAGCAGATAAATAGTTTCTGCATTGATGGATAAGGGGAGGGAGAGACCACAAAAGAGAAGCCAATATCTGAGCATCACTGCAGAGCAGGGGATGAGGAAACAGCTCGCTGCAAATCTTCACCTGTGATCAAAGATATTCTGCATTCAGACCTCTCTGAAGAGTAGAGCTRTAGCAAATGTTACTTTGACTGTTTTGTGCAGAAGAAATGAGAATACAAGGAGTGCAGGGAAATTAAATTATTTCCTTACTTGCCCTGAAAAATTGCTGCGACCTTTGCCCCCAAGAACTACAGCTTCACTCCACTGATAGGTTGCATGCAGAGGGCTTTTACCTTTCAATTCATTAAGATATATAAAGAAGGCTTCACTCTTCCAGTGTGTTGTGCTACTTTCTTAAAAACCATAGGAATATTTGTATTGTGAATTCTAGCCTTCTCTGTTTTTTCAGGAGATTTTCTTAGGGCTCTCAGAAAATTAATTTTCATGTTTGAAACCAAAGGATGAAGTTGAAACTTTGACCAAAACATTTGCTAAAATCAGACACAAGTCTGCATATTCCCAGTGGTCAAGACCAGACCATAGACTTCTAAACAAATGTACATCYACAATTTTTCAGAATTTCGTTTTAGAAAAGCAAATTATCTCATAATGAGATTTTTTAAATAACTTTCTGTGGTACTAGCAATCCTTAATTCTTCTTTGTAAGATTTTTATATAACATCTCCCTACATAATTACATCTTTACAGACATTCAGGAAAACTCCAGTTTATATGTGTCTTACTGTCTGATGCTTCTTGGCATAATGAATTCTTTTGTTGTTAAACTTTCTTCTTTTTTGGTGCTGCTGCCCATGCTGTATGAGATGAATGTGTACCAAAAGGTAAGGCATTTATCAGTAGAAGTCAGGGTGGATCAGGTTGCTGTGACTGCTACAGTGATCTTCCTTCACCRTCTTCCACATGAATACATGTGTGTTCTTGGGGGACTGTGATCAGGAGATGTGTAATTTCTCTGGCCAGCTGGACAATCCTTGACTCAATCAAGTGGGTCTAAGAGGAGGAGCTTATGATTCAGGTATTCATTTTTTCACAGCAATATTAATATAATCTGTGCATAAACCCAAGTATTTTTAAAAGTAAATTAAAAATCATATCATTGGTTTTAAAKCTGTACCTTAAAAGCACTTGCTAAGTTCTTAGGAAGGACATGAAGACCAAAGATCTTCTTTTTTGTCTAAAACATACTTTCTCTAAAATAACAAGAACAGAACTTTCAGCCCTACTATTCTTATTTTTCCTGAGTCTGTCACATTCCTGTGCAGTTTTAATTAATTTTTTGGCATTTGTGAGGAACTTGAAAAAACTTGAAGGTCAATAGCTGTGAGAAGCTGAAAGAGGGAAGCAGACTGTATTGTTACTGCTTTGTAGGAATCACACAGCTCAAGAAACCTTGCTGATTATACACACCAAAAGCCTGTGCCAACACTGACTGTYGTTTAGTACCCTCTGTGCTTCCATTTGGAAATACTTTACATCTGCTTGCCTATGCCAGTCTGAGAAACAGTGAACAATGAAGTACTCAAACAAGTTTGCCTCTAGTATTTTGAGATCTAACTAGTAAAAGCATGTGGTGTGAAAGCAGATGTCTCACAAACAGCCTCTGCTCAACTCCTCTTTTTTTGCACACACTTTTATTTAAAATCTGATTCTTATATTTCTTGACAAAATCTGTTTATGATGGAACAGAAGGACATTTTGAAAACAAAAAGCAATCTTTTTTACTACGCTTGTCATGGCCTTATCTCTTCTGTGTGTTTGTGCCTTTTGTCCTTGTAGCTGGCAGGATGTACATTCCCTTGATTATCTGTTCTGCCTTGTAACATCTGAAATATGTGCAGTAAAGCAAAGTAACAGCAAATCCAGAGAGATTAAGGTTGGTGAGACTGTCAGTTCTGTATTTGAATGAGGTAACTGTATTTTTTTGCACTATGGAAAAGGAGAAAGTTTTCAATTAGGTTTTGTTCTTATTCTTTTGAATATATTGGGAAGTTTGGTACCAGTTGAAAACAGTAATACCTATCCCATGCTCTTTCTAAGACAGAATAATTTATTTGTAGTGTGTATATTTGAAGTTCTACTACTTAAAACAACAGATGTGAATTGGACACCAGATGTTTTCTTAGGAAGTACTCATGAATCTACAAGCTATGATCCAGCATGAATATATTGTGCAGATATCACAGCTTCTAATATCTTTGAAAATACATCTTACAGTAAATCAGTCATATAATATCAGACATTGCCATTTCTTTTAGATTTCATGAGTCCTATAATCAAGGTGATGCAAAAAAAAAAAAAAACTCAAAAGGGAGTTATTTAAGCTTGGCTTCACTTGCTGTTACATGAACTTGAATGATTTAATGAAGAAGTGTCTCAGTCACTGCAGCAGCACTAAGCTGTAGAACCTGAAAGTACTCCTTTCTCGACCCCAAACTCATGGATTTTACAGAACTGTTCTACAGCACTGACATGAAAATGTCACACATTAAGTCAAGCAGCACATTTGAAGAAATATAAAAGCCTAAGAACTCACTAGCTTCTCTTTCTATTATTTTCCTTGTTTTAAAAAGTGTCATCCTCATACCCTTAATGAGTCAATCTGAGCCCAGCAAGCGTCACACGTCTGTTGTACAAAAGCAATATARCCCTACTCTGCACAGAGTGTTGCACAGCTGGACTGTTCAAATTCTTTTATCAGGATCAACGTCACACTGGATAAGAGTCTCCTTTTTCTTCAGCAAGGTCTTTGGCAGTGCTTGACTTCTTTACCTTTGACTTTTGCTTTTTTATTGCTCACACAAAGGATAAATACTTCTAAAATTACTATGTATCAGTTGACAGAAGTGGTTCATTTTTCCATATTTGATCCATAGACATTGATGGCCCTAGGGTTATCTGAGAATGTAAGCAGTGCACTATAACTGGCTCTAAGTGCTGCTTCAACAAAAACAGTAACATAAATGGATATTTCCAATGTCTTCTACGAGTTACAGCCATTTTCTTATTYAAGGCATTCAATCAGACGTACAGAAAGTATTATATAAAATGATAGCATCAAGGTGCCTCTCTAGTTGCTGCATCCCTGASGATTGTCCCAACACCATCTCCACAGTCATCATTCACAGATGACCATATTGAACATACACCCGTTTTAGATTGCTACACTTTCCCTCTTTCTGCTTTTGGCACCATTTCATGTCATAATGAGCATGCAGGGCAGCTCTCAGCACCCCCAGGAACTGGCCTCTCCCTCTCCAGCTCACTGCACTTGGGCCCTAGGAAGGCTGACGTGTACCTGGGTGACAGCCTGGCTCCTGTGCAGGCAGGGCAAGGCTGCAGGAGCCRGACACTGTCTCAATAGCAAGTCTTTCAGGAACTCATTTGCCTGGGAAGAGTTGTAGAGTTTTAGAATTACCAAAGAACATTGGTCAGTATAACTGCTGGGCTCTGGGAAGCTGCATTCTCGATGCTTCTATACTTCATCTGCTCTCTGTAAGGACTACAGTGCCCATAGTCCCAAAGTGAGTTAGGATGGCATTTCAAGAACTAAGAATGTATAATGGCTTACAGGTAGTGTCCTGTGSTTTTGTTGGAATTTATTTAATTCTGAAGCAATCTTTAGTATCATCACTAACCATCCTTGTCAGTCCATACGTCAAAGTCCTTGGAGACATTCTTTTCTTGTACGCTTATCTGTGTGTGTGAATGATGGTATTTAAGGCTGAGCAAATAAGTTTTGTATGTAGCAACTCAATGGCCTACCTGCATGGCTGATAAAATCTGTCTTCTGATCTATAAAATTGCATAAATATGAATGTTGGAAATGTGTTAGGATCACTAGATATTTGTTTTCTAGTTGTAATTCATAACCTCAAAAATCTTTAACCCATCGTGCTGTGTGACTGGAGACAAGGCAGTTCAAATGCATATTGGTGTATAAATGAGAAAAARAAAAAAAAAAAAAAAAAAGCCCCTGTACTTCTGCTTTCCTTTCTTCATCCATGGAAACATCTTAGGGGATTTGCACGCTGTGTGGTGTTGATACTTGGCAGAACGTTCCCTGTGGCTCTGGCATGGTGGCTCAGTTCAGTTTCTAGCAACTGCCAAGGCCACACAAAAGCGCTGGAGAACAAAAGCAGAGACTTGACTGAAATGCCTTATTACAAAAGGAAAACAAAAAACAAATCATGACTCCTCTGCAGCTGAAAATATAAAACTAAAAAAAGGATTAGCTAACATATGAACTGGAAAAAAAMCAGGAAAAACTAACTCAARCAAACCTTTCAGGAGCAGAGGGAAGAGAGGAGGAAATAATGAAAGAGACAGATTCCAGCACTGAAGGAAYTAAGTGTAGCTTCAGCTCAAGCCTTTTCCAGAAATGGACTGAACACATTTACTGCACAGTCCAAATGACAGAGACTGGGATGGAGCAATGCCATCGAGACAAAATTATGAAGGCCTTTTAATGCAATAAACATTAATTGGACATGGAGTGTATTCACTGTCATTTTACAATTCTGAATCACATAAATATACCCAATTATTAATGGCAGTTATTAGCAGCTCCATTTTAATTAACTTGCATGCTGTAAGAATTGATCTGATTTTTCATTTAATTTTCTATTAGACCAGAAATCTTTATCTATACAATGGAAATTTAATTGCCTTGAGAAATGACTGAACATTCTCCAAGAAAAATTATATTTGGARTAAGTATTTCACATGAAACTTGAAAAATATTACATCAAATTCTATTCCCCTCATTATTCTTTCCTGCCTTTTTTGCTGGGTGATGTGAAAATTAAGGTTGTTGAGAACTAACCACCTTTCATCTTTTTTATTGTGGAGCTGCCCAGTGTTGGGTTTCTGCATCTGGTGGTGTGTATGAACAGCTAGTGTTTTACCTCATCTTTAGCAATTTTTATTTTATTGAAAAAATATCCTAGGACTAGGCTTGTCCAAGTTTAAAAAAAAAAAAAAAAAAAAAAAAAAAAAAAAAAGCTTGTCTGAGCTCTGGTGAAGGATTAAAGGTTCCTGTAAGCAGTTGCTCAAACTGATGGTCCCCCAGCTTTTGCCCAGTCTGCCTTTCCTAAGTTAAGCAAATGCACTGTCGCAGAAGGGAAGACTCGGACCACTCAATATGAGTGGTAAAGCAAACTTCAACTTTATTCGTGTCACACACTGGTTATCTATGCTCATAGTTAATTATGCCTACTTGCTACAATATTATTAGCTAAGCACAGAAAGTTACATTCTCRTTTCACTCCCCTCTTYGGTTCTTTCCCAATCTCTCAAAAACMTCCTGACCTTGACTATTCTTAGTGCTTTCATCCTGCAACATATCAAAAACATTCTGTCTTTGAACACTCTGGACACACACATCCTGCAATGTTTCCCATTATCAACACAGAGGCCCAATGTTGCCCCTGAGCAATATTTTCAGTTATTAATGCAAAGGCCTAAAATTTGCTAGCACCCAGTTTGCTTGCACAAGCCTTCCAGGGAGCTAAGTCCCTTTTCATTAAGCCATTCTGCAACAATGCACCTCCTAAAACCATTCCTGAAGGTGACAATTTTTACATTTTCTCCACTACCTGTTGCTTACCCATCTGTGTAAATCTTTCTTGATCTTGCTTGACAACTCAATCCCACTCCCCCAGATTTAAAAAAAKAGTAGCTCGGGCATGTGTCTTGCATGAGGATTTCCCTCCTCACAATATTTCATGCAATGCCGAGAAGTTTTCTATCTTTAGGATCTGTATGAGGTATTCAGTTCTGATGTGTACATTTCTCTGGCATATTATGGCAATAGCAGTGACTTCCAAAGTATTTTTCATGAAAAAACACAAATGACTACTCAATTGCATCTCCATTCAGCATCTAGGTTTTTTTGGTTTTTTTTTTTTAAATAAGGATCAAAGTAGTATCCACAATGTCAAAATATGTGCCTGCTTTCTATATATTATACATATAGAATTTGTGTGTGTTTCCATGCAGGTATGTTGCACTTTGATTACTYATTTTCTGCTTTTCTCGTTGAGAGGGAAAGTTTTTTGAAGAAAGAGTTTTCATTATGAAGGTGTCTAAAGGATTTTTAAGTAGCCCAACTAAGGTATTCAAGAAGAAATGTGCATGTATTTGCAAAACAAAGTTAGGATTTTGCTCTTTTTGGAGGCATTGGGCAAATCTTACTTTTCAACCCAATGTTTCAAAGAAAATATATGTGGCAGCAGTAGTACATAACTGGTATGTTTGATAGCCACAGATTACTTATTATTCAGTTGCTTCAGCCTCAAGAATGGGATTTTCCTTTTAAGAACAAGTTACACTGCAGTGTTTGCAGCAGGCATGCAGAAGGAACCTCCATGAGTAAGCACATGTTTCCGTACAGATTTATTAAGTACTTTTTAATTTTATGCACTTCAGGGAATAATGTGCGACCTTATCTACAATGGTGTTATTGTGTCAAAGTAAGACCATGGATTGGAACATGGTATTCCTAAATTTTGAATGCATTTTGCTCCAATGCCTGGGAGAGACTCGTACAGAAATCAGTTCCTTCTAACACTGGTGATCTTTCTTGCTCTCATAGGAAGGAAGAAGCAGTCACATAAGCTTTGAACTTCTCAGACATTTTCCTCTTAGTTTTTTGCATGAAGATATTTCATAAGAGCTACCTTTCATTTATTAAGCAGAATATTTCAAACTTTGCTCCTGAAGCTGCTCCTATAAAGAGTAGTTCATTCCAGCACATGGCTCTCTACCTTGTAAAAAGTAATTCCTACCAGTTTTACATAACTGACGGTCAATCTCAAGCCCTTCGAAGCTAAACTCCTAACCCCCTGATGTTGAAAGCTCTATTCTGCAGCCCAGTTTAATGTGAAATATTGCTCTTGGTTTTGCAGATTCGAAACGTGGCAGCCAACCTCTGTGTGGACAGTAAACACGGAGCCACGGGGACTGAGCTGAGGCTGGACATCTGTGTGAAGGATGGCTCAGAACGAACATGGTCACATGAGCAGGTATTTTTATAGTGGAAAGAGAAAATCAGGGTAACATTGTTGCTTCTCTTTTTCAGTTTTTAAACATTTTTCTGAGCACTTCTCCTTTTCTTAAGATAAAACACACTGTAAAAATAATTTGTGAATGACTACTGAMCTTAATGGCATTTACAAAGTATTCCTTATTATAACCTCAGAAATTCCAACAGCCACCTGGACTGTCTTCATGTCCAAAAGGAATTGCAATGCTCAGAGAACTTTTTGATGCCCTGTTCTTACCCTCTGTGTCATGAAAAYATGTTGATTTTAGTTGAGTTACCTGAAAATATTTTAAATATAGTACAAGGCCTTGTAAAGCTCTAATCATAGTCTGCTTTTATGCTTTCATCACAATAAGCTGTTATATTTTAAACAAATATGAGGTATAAGTGAGACAAATAGGTAAAAGCAAGCAAAAAAGCATTTCAAAAGACAAGCAGTTATAAAGACTCAAACCTTTTGTTTAGGTTGGTTAGGTAGAAAATTATTAGTTCTCAGGAGTATGGAGGAAAAGAGCTCTGATTCTTACTCACTGTCAGTGCTGAAAGGGATCATGACTTGCAGGCCACGGGTCTGGCCAATGTGAGCAGAGAACCTAGATGAAAAGTACAACCTAACTGTTTATTAGCAAATTTAGCAAGCATGTCTTTCACAGGAAAAGGTCTCAGATTAGTAAAAGATTCCTAATGCTGAGAAGAAGAATTGACCAGGCAGTCCCTCATGGCACTTTGTAAAAACTTAAAAGCTCAGGAGAGGAGTTCTGAGGGGTATTTGAAGTGCTGAGGTCAAGAAATCATGCTCTGAGGATACTGAGAAATGCAGGAGAAGTACAAGTGCAYGAAACCGAGAAGTTGAAAGATTATGTCAATTTAGGTAAGTGCCAACACGGTAAAAAAGGAAGTTGCTGAAAGAAGACTTCTTCAGATAGCTACCAAAGAATAATGCATGGGGATAGGGTGCCAAGACTAGATAAATATAATTGTTTTGTTTCTGAAAGACATCCAGTAATTCAAGGAGTTAACTGAAGGAAGTTGCATGGTCCATTTTAGACCATCGCAGCGTTCTCTCGTTTCAAAATCTGCAAAGCTCCAAACCCTCCTCAAGAAGGGAGGGGGGAATGCTGAGACGGCCAGAGATGAGAAGGGAGGAAAAGAAGTTGGATGAAAAGGTGAGAAGGAAAAAAAGCTGAGAAAATGGAGACTTGAAATATCCTTTGAAAAAGTAAAGGCTTAGACAAAAGGGAAATAACACAAAGGAAAAAGGTCGTTAGGGAGGAATCCGTGTTTCAGCGTACTCCAGGGTGCTGCAACGTTTGAGATCAGATGGATACAAAAGTCTTACTAAGGACGCAAAGTGACTTAATGAAAATGAGTAGGTGAAGCTGGCACGAAGGCAGTTCAACCAGCCAGCTCCTCAGATCCCAGAATCAGAGCTAGGAAGCCTCAAACACTTCGGTGCTTGACGTGTGCCCCAGGCACAGCACGAATTGTCGCTGCCGGGCTGCTGGAGAACAGCGCATACCGTCGCACTGTCGGAGAGTGTAGAAAACTTTCCGGGAGCACCTCAGCCCTGCGGCTGTGCGGCAGGCTTGTGCCCGGCGTGGCTGCGCTGCGGCGGGCAGGCAGCAGAGGGCAGCGCGGCCCAGCTGAGCGCGCCCGCCGCGGGA